CAGCTTTAAGATAAATCACTTCTATTTCTAACTTTCAAAGCGGGGGTACTCTAAAGGTTACAAGCAAGGGCTTCAAATCAAACACTCTTCCGACTGAATAAGCACGCACTTTTTTCTACCTAAAAGATGATTAAAGTGTATATTAATGTTGATTATCAAAGAAAACATTATTTTATTTCATGTTGTCCTTGAACAAGTCCAACTTGTTTTGTCTTTGTTCTTAAAATCAGTGTGTATGTGAGTGTGTATCTGTGTCTGTGCATCTGTGTGTATGTGTGTGTGTGTGTGTGTGTGTGTGTGTGTGTGTGCATGTAGAGGCCAGAGATGGCTCAGTCTACCTTGTTTTTTGAGACATGATCTCACTGGTCTGTAGCTTTTCAAATGGGCTAGACACTAGCAACTGGTAAACCAGAAAGCTCTGAGGGTTCTCCTATTTTTATTTCTTCCTCCCCAATGCTGGGATTATAGTCAGCCTCCATTATAGAGGTTTTTTTAAAAACATAGGTTCAGGGTGGAACTCAGGATCTCATGCTTGCTCAGCTGTCTGCCCAGCCCCAATTTCATGCTTGTAGCTAACCTCTGGTTCCAATCTCATCACATTATAACCCAGAGGCCTACTCCATGGCCAATTGTCCACACCAGGGCTAACTTACCAAACAAACAGAATATGGCTAAGCAGCCAACTGCCTTCTGCTTCTCTGGAGTATGTAGAGCCGTAAATAACCTACTACAAAATTTCTTTTGCCACAAAAGACAATGCCCTCCCATTTGGAGAAGAGTGAAGCTTCAACTGAGTTGGTTTATCAAATAATTCTATTTCTAAAGCCACTGGGGGTGGCAGTGGCGGTAATCGATTAGTCCCTGGTGCCATTTTTATTTATCTGAGATCAGCAGAGTTCATCTTCCACTCAGCCTCATGTCTCTTGCAATAGCTTTTCTTTTTTTGTCTCCTGGCATTTTAATCAGGGAAAGTCACAGTTGTTTTGAGGAAAATGCTCCCAAGAGCTTTAATTAAAGTTGGAAGGATAAATCTGTTTACAGTGTGGTGAACACCATCATTAATAAAACATTGGAATAATTAACAAATTAAATTCTGCTTTGTATGTGAATGGCTACAGTTAGGATCTATGAGACCATGTCTCTTGAACAAATACAACATGATATGTACTTTGTGTGGGAGAAAAGAAAAACACAGCTTGTGTTTCTCTACGACTCATAGTGCCACAGGCTGGTAGTGCTTTAGTGGCTAAGTCCACATCACTGTTTTGTGGGGAAAGGACCTCGTTTCCTTGAATCTGAGATTACGTTGTAATGATGTATACAAAAGTAAGGATTTTGATTGCATCACAGATATACTGAGTCTGTAATTGCTTAATTAGAAACAAAGAAAGAAAAAAATTATGTCAATAATGTAAGTAGCCTAGAAGACAGACTACAGAATGGAAGAATCTGGAAAAAAATGAACAAATTTTACATTGTGTTCAACTGTGACCACTAACAAGAGCTTTTTGTGAAGTGGCCTTGTGAGCAGGATATGGCCATTTGAGAGCCTTCCAGTCGGGACATCCCTTTGTGTTTCTTCTTACCAGGCTGCTCCTTGTCTTGTTTTGAAGCTTCCTGGCAGACAACGGATCTCACAGGAAGCACTAGTGCGGACATTCATATCCACAGCTAACGATGTATTGTTGCTTTTTTAAAAATGTTACTTGGTAATTTCCTAGAGAAAACAATGGGAACTGAAGGCTGTTCCTGTCTTTAAGGAAAGCCAGTTTCCAATGTTGCTTTATTAATTTAACACATGCAAGTATTTGTTCTTAGTTGTTGCTACAGCAACGTGTTTTGTGGGGCATATTTCATGCAAAATGGGATAAAACCGAAAATCAAGACAAATGTCATCTGCATAATCATGTGCATAAAAATAGAAGTATACGTGTGTGCCGCCGTACGTGCTATGCTTGTGATTAGCAGTGACTGCCTCGACCCTTCATCTGAATTACGCCACACTTGTTGGCTAATTTATAAAACATCTATCTGATGAAAACAACCAGCCAACCACTTCCAAGGAGCTTCAGAAAAGCTGGAAGCACATGAAATTATTCATAATTAGGTGATGGGTGGATGATAACCGCTCCTATCATGAACACAGAGGTAAGTGTGTAAATGAGCTCTGAGTGCCAAGGGAAAAAAGGCCATTTCATCCCAACGTGAACTAGAAGCTTTGCTTTCCTGACAGTCACCTTCTCGACACTGAGGTTAACATGGCAAACGCGAGCATCTTCAGCTGGAGGGAAGGAGAGGGCAGAATCTGGAGCTCATGGGAGAGACCCACATGTGTGAAGGCAAAAAGTCACCACACATGATAACGTTAAGAATCATGTGGGGACGCGGAACCCAATAGACTTTGCTTCCAAGTCCAGGGTCCCACCTGTGATGAATACTTAGCGGGTTTCCTCAGCCTCAGGGTGTCTGATTTTGAAATGGAGGGATTTTAGCTCCTTCTCAGGATTAGGGGATTAGATCAAAGCTGTCTCCTCTTGGAACTGGGAATGTGGTGCACTGGTGGGGTGTTTGCCTAGTATTTAGAAAGCCTTGAGTTCCATCTGCAGGCCCAGATAAAACCAGGTGTTTTGATTCATGTCTGCAATTCCAGCACTCAGGATGGAGAGGCAGGAAGATCAGAAATTCAAGGTCATCCTCAGTTACATAGTGAGTTCAAGGCCATCTTGGGCTACAGGAGACCCCCACCTCAAAAAGAAAAGTGTTCAAAAGATGTTAAGTGGCCAGGACACCTCAAAAGCAAAAAGGGGGGAATGGTTTATAAGAGGTACCACTGTCGGTACATTCACCGGCTAGTTTGTCCTTTCCCTCCACAGAGGTAGGCTGAGTGTGCCTGTGTGACAAGACATTGGCAATGGGATGTGCAAGTTCAACAACTTGGGTAACTGCCCCTGGTCTCCTTCCTCTTCTGCCTTGCTGATAGAGACGTTTCAGGTAACAGCTACCCCTTGCTCAGGCTCGTATGTAAAGGTCTGAGCCTCCAGCCAGTCTGGGGGTGTGGAGGAATATGAATAGTAATAAACCTTTTTTTGGGGGGGGTCGCTGTCATGCTTCTCCTGACCACACTATTCCATGAGAGAAAGGGTTGGATGGCATTCTTCCGTAGCTATCTCAGATAGCATCCAATAAAAAGTGACATAGGATCCTATCCCTTTGACAAGTGTTCCAGGAGTGCCTGTTTTCTCTCTAGATTTCTGCCAATGAAGAAGTGGTTTGTACAAAAGAATTGCTACTATGGCAGTTTCTGAACCCCTGCAGTACCACAGGGGCCCCATTATTGGGCAAGGTCCATGTTACCCAGAATAGAAATGCATTACCATACAGACATGCTTAGCACTGCAAAAATGCAAGCTTCCCCCAGAGCTGCGTCTGTCATTCACAAGGAGCTACTTGTGGGTTTGGAGACATGGAAAGACAAGCTACCATGAGCAAATTAATTTCACCTCTGGCTTCATCTAGAGCAGGCTTCAGCAGTCCCGAATGAGGCCTCATCTTTTCCCACCCTCTCCACATGGCTCGGTGTTATCATACAGAGGTTAGCATGAGTTCAGTCTCCCCTAATGGACTCTTTCACGTTAAGTGTATGTTAAACTAATATTGACCTTTGCAAAGTAAAACAGAATCCTGTATTTGTGCTCAAATGACTGAAATAGCAATGGACATGGGAGAGGATAAATCACCCCAGCTTTCTTCTTGCATAGAGACTCTCTCTGGAGTTAAGTCATTTATATATATATATATATATATATATATATATATATATATATATATATATATATATATATATATAAAGACAGGCTCTGCCTACTTTTGGGTCAAATGATGTCATATACACAGAATATCCACATCCACAGGCTTCATTAAACCATGGTGCTGGCCCCTTGAGTCCGAGCATGGGACCTTGGGTTGCGCCAAGATGGTTAATTGTGGTTGCCAGTGTGATGGGTTTAGAATCAGAAAGGAAACAAATCTTTGGATATATCTACGAGGGATCTTCTCAATTAGGTTAATCTAATTGAGGCAAGAAGACACAACCTAAAAGTGGACAGCATGGTCTGATGCCCAGGACTGGGTAAGAGGGAGAAGTGAGATGAGTGCCAGCATTCATCCCTCTCTGCTTCCTGATGCAATGTGAGCCTCTTGCTGAGGCTACCACATGTTCCTTGCAGTGATGGACTGTATCACCTGGAACTGACATAAAACAAACCCTTTCTCCTTTAAGTTGCACTTGCTGGATGTTTTGTTGCAGCAAGAAGACAAATAAACAATACAGGTAGAGACATCCAGAAGCCAAGGTGTGCAAGAATGGGTACTCAGATACTAGGGATGACTCCTGGAAAACAGGGAGAGTAGACGACCTGGGGATGAGGACCAGTGGCCATGTGTGTGGCACAGTAAGGAAGGATCTAGTTCTAAGAGCCTAGTAAAAGCAGTAGCAACAGAATCACTAATGAAGATGCACATATGAGGATTCCATGCTTGTCCGTGAATACAAGTTAGCAGATGCCCTCAATTAGCTACACACAACGTGTGTATCTTGTATGCTCTACTCCAATCAAACCATAAAACCAATGCTTGTAGACAAATATCTCAGACAAACCCTACAGAATTCCTATATCCCATCAATGGCATAGAACTGTGGCAGAATAGGAAGTGAGTGTGTAGTTGTTGGGAGAAAATCTTATCTTCTAGTTGTGATGGAAGTGAGGAATCTATTCAAACTTGGAAAAAGCAGTGAAAGGGATTTGAGAAGAAAATGTTTTCTGCGGGGTCACCTGAGCCAGCTCTGCTATTCTGTGTGTGTGAGTGTGATCCTTTTCATGGACTGATCTGTGTTCAGGTGTCTTTCCTGTGTTTGATATAGCACCCATTTTTATTTGTCAGCTTTTCTAGATGCCTTGTAGGTCTCCCAGGCCCGTTATGCCCAACCTTGTTTCACCCACCTGGATCCACTCCCGATAGGAGTCCTGTCCGGGAGTCCACCCATTTTCAGGGTAGTTCAGGCGGGAACGCTCTACAGACCAGTTGGTGCCATACTGTGAGGATGCCGTGATCTGGTCAGAATGGATCTCTCCAGATTCCATGCCCAGAGCCTCCATACACTTGAAATCTGCAGACAAATTATAAAGGGCTGAAGACACAGTTTAAATTCAATGTGGCAAACTAAAGAGTTCACTCACAGCCTGGGTAGATGGTTCAGTAAGTGTTAGGACCTGCATTTGATCCTTACCACCCAAGTAAAAGACAGCTGGGCCTGTCATATCAACACTGAGAGTCAGATCTCTGGGGCTTGCTGGGTAGCCAGTCTACCCAGTTCATAGTCCAGATTCATTGAGAGATTCTGTCTCAAAACACATGGTGGACAGTGACCGAGGAAGACACACAGCTTAATGTCAACTTCAGGTCTACACACACACACACACACACACACACACACACACACACACACACACACACACACACACACACAGAGAGAGACAGAGACAGAGACAGAGACACAGAGAGAGACAGAGAGAGAGAGGGAGACAGAGAGAGAGGCAAAGAGAGAGAGAGGCAGAGAGACAGAGAGAGAGACACACACAGAGAGAGACAGAGACACAGAGAGACAGAGAGACAGAGAGAGAGGGAGACAGAGAGAAAGAGAGGCAGAGAGAGAGACAGAGAGAGAGAGACAGAGAGAAACAGAATTCATTAACAAAATCTGACAAAATATGCAACATGGGATTACTGGAACATGGCACCAATAATTACATTTTCCTGAATATGGATCTTCAAAAATAAGATTATAAAAGCCAGCACAGTTATTATTAACACTCCCATGTGGGCTAATGTTGACAAAATGCTCTCTGAGGTAGGGATGTGGTTTGGTTGATAAAGTGTCAGAACAGTGTGAATGGAGCCACATAGGTGACATGCTAGCACCTCCTCATCTGATGTGCTGGGGTAAACCACCTGCAATCCCAGCAGCCTGGAGTGGAGGCAGGGTCAGACAGTCATTGGTATCCTTACATATTGAGTTGGAAGCCAGAGATCATGTGTCAAAACAAAATAAATTAAAAATAAAGAAGAAAAAAAAGAAACCTTTTTCCTTAAATTGAAAATCTTGTTTGTTGTATCAATGGAATGTCCAACTAATAGAAATTTCACATTTTTCTAAAATTTGTGTCCTAATAGATAAGGTTTTGACTAGCCAAATAAGTTAAGTGTAAACACATTTTGAATTTCATTCACCTTTTCATTTCCCAGTCATATATGGGGCAGAAAACCTGAGTAGCTCTGCTATGCAGGTCAGCAAAAGCAACGAGACACAGGTTTTTCTCCATCTGGCCTTCAAAAGAACCCTTAGCCACATGAACTTTAGTCAGTGTTTCTTTTTTTCATTTTATTATTCTGTTGTGCAGAGAGGTTGCAATGCTGGAACTTGAATCTAGGGACTCCTGCATTGCAGGCAAGTATTCTACCATGGAGCTCTGCCCTGAGCATTTTAATAAGGTCTTTAAAAATACATTACTCTTTTTATTGGAAAACTATGTAAGACAAACTGAAATATTCTCCTTTTACAGGCTAGGTCAGCAGGATTACCTCTAACCTAGCAGGTACCAAGTCCTAGGTTCAACCTTAGCATTGTGTGTCCAGGTATGGTGCTGCATACCTGTAATCCCAGCACTTGGGAGTTAGAGGCAGGAGGCTCAGGAGTTAAAGGCCAACCTTTGTTATACAGTGAGTTTTAGGCCAGCCTGGTATACATGAGATCCTGTCCTTCACAAATAAAAAACCAGAATTGGTGAGATGGCTCAGCAGGTAACAGCCTTTGCTGCCAGAATCTACACGGTGGAAGGAGAGAACTGATATCTGTGAGCTGTTGTCTGTCTGTCTGTCTGTCTGTCTGTCTGTCTGTCTGTCTGTCTGTCTCTCACACACACATATATATGTATATGTATGTATATATATAATAAATTAATTGATTTAAAGTGTAAAAGAATAAGACCATTCTTTTACATATCCTACTTTATTTTAAACTTTATAAGAAAATGGTAATGAGTACCCCAGGGTCACCTACAGCCAACAGCCCTATCAGCTACCTCAAGCTGGTTCTGCCTGGACCTGTCCTTTGTGTTTCCTGACACCTGTGCCTTTGAGGTGCCAGGGGAGCTTCCTGGTCACCCCTCATTGTTTCCATGTAGTGTTCAGTCATTTTCCACTTCCCTAACTGCAGAGGCTCACACATAATTTTATGGAGGAAATACACCAAATGACATCTTTCCAATTGACACTCACACACAAAAAGATTTTTTTTCCCAGAGAAAGACAGTGGGCACCACAGTTCACAGAACATTTCTTTAGTGTTTTGTGTGGCCACAGGTGTATGAGAAATAATGGGCAGTGTTTACTATAGGGCTTTGTGAGATGAACACACTGACCTTCAGAGATGCTGCTCTGCAACACACTGTAGTTGGCTGAGAAACCTTCCTTTGCTATGGCGCTGTCGGTGTAAAAGACCATGGATAGAACGCCTGAAGAGGAGCGGATCCGACCAGGTGTTTTCTGCCCACAGTAGCGTCCAATGTGAGGGCCGACTGGAAAAGGAGAAGTACGGAGAATATCAGATTGTCCTTTCTGCTAGAGAAGATGTAAAAATAACCATTTGCAAGCATGAATCTCAGCAGAACACAAAGACTGTTATAGCCTAATGCAAGTCTCTCCTGGTTAATGGGTGAATAGAGCTCATACTGGATGACTGGAGAGGATTTGGAAAGATGCTCAGACAGGCATTCACAGGCACAATCATACCCCCAGCCAGCCCAGTTCTTCTCAGGAATGGAACATGTTAGGGAGATGACTCAATGCCACAAAGACCAGAGTTCAAATCCTCAGTGTCTACACACAAAACAGAGAGGGTGTTGTGTGGTAGCCCAGCTGTAAGCCCAGAGCTCAGTAGGTAGAGGCAGAGATCTCAAATACCAGTTGGTGAATGATCTCTGTATTCCATGAGAGATCTTGTCTCAGAAAACAGAGTGGATAGCAATAGAGGAAGACACCCAATGTCAACCTCTGACTTCCACATGTACCTGTGTACACATACACACATATGCACTCACACATATGAGAATACATGCTATACATACACACACACACACACACAACATGTACATATACATGTAAAAACAAAATGAAACAAAAGCAAAGTAGATGACTATTGAGAAATGATACCTGTGGTTGTCCTCTGGCCTTCACACACATACACACACACATACACCACAGAGAGAGAAAGAGGGAGGAAGAGAAAGGGAGGGAGGGAGGGATAGATAAAGATAGAGAGAGAGAGAGAGAGAGAGAGAGAGAGAAAGAGAAAGAGAGAGAGAGAGAGATGCTAGGTAAGCATCCAATTGCAAAGAATGTAATATGTAATTCAGTCCAAGCAGTTAGGCAAGGTCCAGGATGTCCCACTTCTCCTTTCCCCAGTGGTGAGTCTGGGAGAAACATAATGTCCCAGGAAGCATCCAGGGCCACACAACCCAGATTTCCTTCCTCATTCCATTACACAGCCCTGGATCCTAAACCAGCCATATCACACACTTAGACAAAAAAAAACTCTGGAAAAGCACTCACTCCTCGGGTCTAATAGACAACTAATAGACAATCCTAACCATTCAAGACTTAGAGACTACAAACACTGATCTTTTATATATGTTACAATAAAAATGAATGGATAATGTATTTTTCTGAATTCTGACTGGTTTTTTAACTCTTCCAAACCCAAGAATAGGGATTGCACTACACTGTGTTTAGTGGCTACAAAATGGCCTACAACAACCATTTGTGCCCTAGGCCATGAATATCCCAGAACACTGACTAATTTGTGTTAAAGTCAAATTCTGATTTGGCTCATGTAGCTGTGCCTGTGCTAGAATGTCTTAGCTCAACCTTGGCAATGAGTCACTTAGTGCAGAAGCCCCTTGCAGTTGAGAGACTGCTCCATTACTCCATTCAGATCAACAAAGCACAAAAGTAGTTGTTTTCTCTAATGTGGTAAAGACATACCAGATGGCTTGGGTTTTGAAGGACAGTCTGTTGTAAACCATCTTCCTTCCCTAGAAAACCACTATTCTGTGCACTTCAGCTAAGACTCACAGCTCCTCTTAAGGATCCAAGTTATTGTAGACTTTCCATGTGTCCTGGGGTGGAGGAAGAGGACTTCAAAAGGGACATGGATCTCCAAGGACCAAGAATGTCACTATTGCAGAAGGCAACCTTTGGGGGTAAGGTGATTCAAATATCATTGCAAAAGTGAAACCCATAAGAGTTGGTCTTCCCAAAGGCCCCAAGAACCACTGACTTTCCAGGTAGGGGCAATCTGAATACTTAGTATTTTAGAGTATGTAGATCCTTGACTGACAGGTGGTCAGTTTGACCAATCCTCTTAAACCAAACCAAAAACCAAAGCCCAAAAACCTGAGGTGGTTCTCATAGTTGAGTTTATTTCTGGTGTTGTCTCTGAGAAAAGGTTTAATGTGTATCCTAGAATGGCATCAAACTCACTATGTAGCTGACAATGACCTTGACCTTGTGGTCTTTCTGCGTCAACCATTAGAATTACAAGCATTCAGTATATGCAGTGGGGATCGAACCCAGGGCTTTGCTAGATGAAGTAAGTAAATCTATCAACTGAGCTCAGTGCCCAGCTTTGACACAGTACTCTTTCTGTATACATGAACCCAGGGCTTTGTGTATGTAGGTAAGCACTGTACCAACTAAGCCACAGCCCTTAGCCTACTATGCATTATTCGGCACATCTGACTACTTGATGTGTTCAAAGCCATCAACCAGACTGAATTAAAAGGCTGTTCTCTCCACCATCACCCGCTCTCTGAAAACAGAGGATGTGGTGTGTAATGTGGTTTATCATGAGGAAAACACAAGGGCATCCTGAGAGGGAGACTGATAAAGATCCTGGAAAGAGCTGCACACTGGTCAATAGCTTTGAATGTCGCAAAGAGAATTTGTTACATTTGCCTCAGAAAATGGAACTCTTATTGTTCCCACCTCTTTTCAGCTTAATCTTGGCCTGGATTTCTTCTCCAAGTGCTAGCTCTGTGCCAAGCTTTCTTCATTCTGGATGGGAGGCCCTGCCGCTAATTCAACTCCTCTTTTCTTGGCCAAGGAGCTCCAGGTTGTCCAAAATGTATGCACAAAAAAATCTTGCTGGAGCCAAGAACTCAGTTCTCCCCTTGCCTGGGTAAGAATCCCATTTTGGTCTGCAGTTATAAATGGGAGGCTTAGTGCCCATTCATCCTCTCCTCATGGTTCCCCTCATTTAAATTCCATTAGTGTGGTTTCATAATCTCTTACTTTCGTTGTGGGCAAACTTTTACAGTCCTAATCCTTGGGGTTGTTTCTTGATGGCCACAGCCCCTGACCTTCCCCGTCAATGCTTGCGAGGGACACGGCAGTGCCTGTGGAAGGAGGCACTGATAGCTATCCCCCCCTCCCCTGTCACCCCATTCCTTTGGGGAGGGTGGCAGGGGGAGTCTCTTTGAAAGGGGAAACAGAAGAGAACTTGTCTAACGCAGACTCATAATTTAGAGAGTCTCCATGACTCACTGGTTTATAATGTTGGAGGCATGCTGGGTAAATCTGCCTTCTGTCTTTTAGAACATTGCCCCCAGACAGATCCCTGTACGTCTCCTTAGGAGCCCTCCAGATATGAGAGTGTAAGGCTCTGGCGACAATAATACAAAGAGGTATTGAATTTTCGTGAACAACAGGGGGACCTCAGCTTCGCAAGCTAATGCAATATTGATCTGAGCCGGGAGGACAAGGCGCGCTCATGCAACAACGCGTGTGCTCATTTGTGTTGGATTCGAACGGGGCTACTGATTTCTCCTTTCTGTAATTGTACACCCAAAGGCCAAAGAGATGGGTGAAAGTGATCACCAAACCCAGGAGTATAATGCAAAAAGTGAATCACTGAGGGCTCCAGTAAGGGGGAGGGATATACAAGTTGTGAGCAGCAGGACCCTAGTCCCATCAAGTTGGATGTAAGGGTGACAGAATGTCTGTCCTTAGAAAACAGCACCCCACTCCATTATTCTTTCCAATAATCATAGCCCTGCCTCAGAATAATATCATCTTCTGCCTTCTGAAGAACCAAAAGTAAATAATTTTTTTAAACAGTCTGGTACTTGCTGTGTTGTCTAGGTTAACCTTGAACTCATAGTAATCTTATTTAAGCCTTCCAAGTGCTGGGATTACAGGCATATACTACCATGCTGGCTAAAGAGGTACTTTTAGTGAAAGATCTTTAATAAACCAGAAAGGAATGATTTCATAGGCACTAGACAGGGCACTTAACTTTTCATAAATTAATAAGCCTATTATTAGTAGAGTCTCCAGAGTTTGCGCATTGGCACATTTACTTCTATCCATGTGGTTTTACTAGGCTACTTTATCTGTTAAAGTAAATAAAAAAACAGCACTTGTCTCGCTGTTAAGGAACTCATTTCTGACTCTGCTGATCAGTTCTGCAATGTCATTGACAAGCAAGTTCTGGTCTTTCTTCCCAGCTCAGGCAGAGAGCTGACATACCACTGGTGTGACTACATCACTCCCAGGCTCCAGTGTCCAGTCCACACCCATGTAGTATCCCTTGGCAGAGGCAGGCTTGGTACTCTGCACCAATCCCTCCAGGACTCCATGTGATCTTCTGGAGACTGAGAGATGGAGATGTGTGGTTCACAACCTGCATGCCTTGGACTCAGAGTTTCAGAGTAAGACTGCTTTTCTTCAAAGTCAATTTGTGTCAGTGGATAGCTTTCAATTACTTAGTCATTTAATTCGATGTTTATGGGAAGATGGAACATAAAGTCATGCGATGGCTAAAAGCCTTCTGCACCTTTTGGATGTTGTTTCTGGCATGGGAATTGTGAGTGTTGAACTACAGTGACAAAAATGTTTCTAGTGCCACTGACAAAAAAAAAAAAACCCAGGAGGGTTGGTTCCCATTTTCTCCACAAAAGAGAAAACTTAACCACACAGTTATGTCAGGTAACCATGAACAAATATACATTTTTGGGGGGTTAGGTACGTGGCTGGGATGATTTAGTACTTGTTGAGTGTGTGTGAAGCCCTGGGTTCAATCCCCAGTGGCGTAAACCAAGTGTGGCAATGAATGCCTGGAATATCCAAGTACCAGGAAGATAGAGATGGGACAACGAGGATTTCAAAGCCATCCTCAGCTACATAGTGAGTTTGAGATCAGTCTACACTACATAGGAACTCTGTCTCAAGAATAAAACAAAATGATAACTCCTTCATATTCCAAAGCCAGTGTTCTCTGGAAATGAGCCAACTTTGCAACAGTTCAAACCGTGGGTGCATAAAGCTGGTAACTCTTATATCCTTCTTAGTTTCAACACAGTGATTTTCTAGAACCAGAAAATTACCACTTTAAGAAACCCTTGACACTAATAACAATGTGTCTCTTTCTAAAAGTCTTCTAAATATATTAGGTAATGGGACGTCCTCCTCAGTCATTTTTAAATAAAGTTCTAGAAAGGAAGACTGAGAATTTGGGTTGTGAACAAATAAACCCATTATTACACATTCCAACTATTGTTACCACATCATTATAATGCTGTTTTCCTAATTATCAGATTGAGTGTTTGGAAATCAATCAGCACTATGTTTGGGAAGCTCTCATTATCTAATGAAGGAGTTCCTGTAAGATCATTATAACTTTCTTCATAAGGTAAAAGGGAAAGAACAGATCAAACCAATGTTAACTCATTCATTTACTAAATGGCAGTAAAAAGCTTTTCTAAAGGTGATATTGTTCTTTACTATTTACTGACAAAATGAGTGTAATTTTGGTGTCTTTTCCAAATATTATAAGTAGTTGCCTTCATATTCTACCTGCTCTTCACTCACAAGAAACCCTCCTGCCATTTTAATGGTAGCTGTACATTGTCAACGGTCAGTCGTTGAGCCTTTCTGAGTTGTCCTTTCATATACATGCAGTGTGTCCTCAAGGGAGATCTTAGAAGGAAACTGGGTTAAGCACAATGTCAGCAACATGGCTTTAACAAATTCTTTATCCCTCTGCTTGGAATCTTCATGTGGATTTTTGCATTCACTTTCTAGTTCTCCAGGAAAGTTCATAGATGTCCACATGGCTATTTCCCTACCTTTATCAAACCCAGCTCATATGGTTCTGTCTTACTCTGGTCTGGCTTGACCATCCCATTTAAAATCTCAACTACACCCCCTCTTCCTGATACTGCTATCCCTTAATTCTGCTCTACTTTCCCTCTCTCATTTCTGAAATGAGCTATCTGATGCAAATGATGTTTTAATGAACAGAAATAAGGTAGTCAGGAAAACCACGCGTTGATCCCCAGGCTGTCACAGAAATCACTCAGGACCTTGAATTTTTATCTTTCACCGCCTCCACTGCCTATGTGTACAGTGAAGGAGTACAGACTGGTATTGGGGAAGTCCTTCCTAATCACAGAAATTCCATCCCTGCCCTTCACAGTTTCATTTTCTTTTCCCTTGCTATTTTTGGTTACTTTTAAGAAGTGATGAGTGCATTGTGACATTTATAGAAGATTCCTTTTGGGGGGACTTTTCCCAGCTGTTCTCAGACATTACCTTCAGGGAACCCATCCCAGATCTCCAGCCGGTCATAGCGACAGAACATTCCTCCTGGAGGATTTGAGTCTTGCTCCAGGTCAAAACTTTCAAACTCCAGGATAATCTCAGACATCTTCGGTGCAAAGATGATGTAGGTGCACTCCAAGCTGTTAGGGTATTTTTCAGGGAACCCTGGGGACTTTATCACTCCACTAGGTGCTGTGTAGTTCTGAGAACATTCCGGACCTGTGAGCAGGAGATAAAGGGAGCACAATGAACATTCCTTGACTGCACACGAAGCAAGGGGAGAAGGCAGAGGATTTCTAGGGAAAGACCACCGTCGTATCGTTGTCATCATCCTTGCCAGTCACTCCTCAGCCATTCCCTAACGTCGACTTACATGGAAAGTCACACTAATGTTTACTGTGCTCACCATAGTGTCCCATTAGAGTAGAGCAATTGAAAGGCATCTGCTGTTACAGGAAAAGAAAAAAAAAGGGAGGGGACAAATATAAAATCATGTGGGAACAATGAGTGAGTAAGCTGCAGAAATCTCGACAGAGCCCTAGAGAAATAATTACAGCCCCATTCAAGCTCAGATCTTTAAATCTCCAGGCTGACAGCCGTTTATTGGTGAAATAGAACATTTACAGAGGCAAGGGAGAGGATCCAGTCAAGAGAGTTTGGGTTTCAGATTCCCCTGGCAGTGAGCCGGTCACTCTGCCAGATGTGACCTCTGTCTCTTTGACAAACTGAATGTGAAAGGTAATTCGTACATGGACCCTGGGTGACTTGACTCCCCATGAGCGGTGTTGACACAGGTGCGTGTCAACGTGTGGCAGTTAGCAAGGGCACCATAAACTGTGATTACAGCCCTGGTGCTAGGCGTCACCTGATATCAACACTGACACTGTAACCTTCCCCCAAGAATCAGCTGTGGTGCAGTATCCACCCTAAATGTGCTGGCTCACAGGCATGTGTGTAGACGGTACCTATTTACAATGTGTGATTTTAATAGCTGCTCAGAGTTATCAAGACTTTGCAAACTGTGGTGATTTGTGATTGCAAAACAAGAAGTGGGCATGCACCGCAGTAGGCTGACCTTGCAGCTATGTGAATGAGCACGATTTCTGTCTGTGACATCTAGCACCAAACAGGGCAGGGTTGTCTGCAGCTGAGAAGTCAGCTTTCCCATGTGGACACCACCCCTCTGACCTTCAAGTAGTCACACTTACGTAAAGCAGAGAAAATGGGATATCCCTTCCCCTTTAAAGATCTATTACGTTCTTTTAATGTGTGTACGTGCTTGCCTGCATATGTGCGCACCACAGGAGTGCCTGGAGCCCACAAAAGTTGGGATGCCTAGAATTAGAGTTACGGATGGTTGTGAGCTGCTGTGCGAATACTGGGAACTGAACCTGAGTCCCCTGCAAGAGCAAAAAGTGCTCTTAACCACCGGGCCACCTCTCCAGCCTGGAAAATGGGATCTTTCGAATCTCAGTATTGAATCTGAGAATGTCCAAGTCACCTTTTCTCTCCCTGTCTGGCTGTGACTCACATGCCACTGAAAGAATTCCAAGCGTTGATGAAATACGGCGAGAAGTCACGACTGTTTCTTGCACCTTGGTGTTCATGTGTACATGTCTGTGTGTGCATGCCGTGGCCAGGATGACCTCTGCTGTCTTTTCCTTAGTGCCAACCACCTGCTTGTTTTGAGACAGGGCCTCTCACAGATTAGCTAGTCTGACTGACCAATGACACACATCTGCCTCCCCAAATATGTTACATCACACCCAGCCTTTTACTTGGGTGGTGGGGATTGAACTCATGTCCTAATACTTGTGGGGCAGGTACTATACTGACTGAATCATCCGCCCCACCTGACACTGTTCTGAACTGAGTAGCCTTCTGAAGTGCCCAATGACTTAAAGTAACTTCTTAGACATTAAAGCAGATGGTTCTAGTGGCTCAGGTCAATTAGCCTAGTTTCCACCTGAGGCTGTGGCAGCTCTCAAGGGGACAGGTGGCTGGCTAACCTCTGAGTTAGCACAGTGGAGGAGTGGAGGAGGACAGGGTTTGTTACCTGGACACAATACACCTGGTCTTCAAGGTGATGTGGCTTATTAAGAATGCGCTGCAAACTTTCTTACAAGGGGCTCAAGCTACTCTGCTCTGCCTCCACGTGTTAATCTGTTTGATTGTGGTTAAGGGCTCATGGCCCTCTTGTATTTTTGACAGGTTAGATCCGGGTAAAGGTTTTTATTCCATCCTGAATGCTCTGGGAGCTTCTAAGATGGCAGTGACAATGCCAAGTTAAGTCACAAGTTACATATGGAATATATAAAAAACCCTGTATATCATATACCATGATTACATATCCACATATTATGTATTGTTATATTAACTTATAATCACATAGTTAATATATAGTAAATGCATGTACTGTATATGCTATATAATATATGATGCATGGTACTGGCAAACTTAGAATTTTACTTCCAAGATGCAATGTGTCTTCATGTCTCAACCTCCTCTTCAGGTAAGAAACACCTTGGTTAGGTCTTTTAAGGCAAAGTGCACGGAGAGTGCTAAAGCAGGCTTTGATACCATCTCCTGAGAAAGGTTAGCATGACCAGATGAGATTATGTTTCAATGAGACAAAAAAAGTGTGACCAGAATTGATTTCACTTTCAGAACTTTAAGTCAGGCTTTGCAAGGCTTAATACAGCAGAGAATTCCCAAGGGGTGGTGGGAGAGAACTGGATTGAGTGCCAGAAGATGTGGGCTCCATTCCTGCCTTGGTCACGTGCACCCCATGGAGCCTCAGGTGGTCTCTGAGCCTTCCTTGTTCTCAGATGGGCCCCAAGCTTTGGAATTGAATATAAAAATAATAATTTGTCATTTTCTCTACCATACACCAAAAATATTTTTTGAGACAGGGCCTTGGGGAACCCAGACCAGTCTGGAACTTACTTTGTAGCTAAGGGTGACATTGAACTTCTGGTCTTCTTGCCTCCATCTTTCAATAGGGCTGTGTGCATGTGCTCTGCCAACTGAGCCATATCCCCAGGCCCCAAATGGTTGTTGTTGTTGTTGTTTTTAACATTTTCCTTTGTCACTGTTATATAAGTTTGACCCACTGAAAAAGTGCTCCTCCAAAGGGGAAGGACAGTGGTAGGAGAGAGCTCAGGAACTTTGCAAGAGCTCCCAGGACTGAACAGGAGTGAGGCCAACCTGGGAGGGAGGGAGTTGCAAGGGGGACAGTGCTAGTGAACACAAATCGAGAGGTATGCCAATCTCTGGCTATGCCTTGGTAGTTGACAAGTACCTATTGGGGCTACAGTAAGGCACATCTGGATGGTAATGACAAAGGGGATGGACAATTATAATAGCTAAGGTGTTTTCTTGGGGTTACACTTAGATAGGGCCCCTCATTTCCCAGGAGTTTAGCCTTAAACTCCTTGTAGCTGGGGATGATGGTGAAACTCTGCTACTCCAGCCTTCCTGATCAAGCAATAGAATTATAGGAGAGTTTCACCATGCCTAGTTTATTTGGTTTTGGGAGTGGAACCCAGGAGTTCCTTCATGGCAGGCAGGCACTCAACCAATCGAGTAACATCCCTCCCTGGTCTTGTTAAATATCTAGACTCTTAATTACATAGTCTGTACCAAGCACCACCACTCAGCCCCTGACAATGAGGTCCATAGAAACTGTCACAACCTCCTTCATCAGTAGGGCCAGTGGCCCAGGCCAACAGAAAGGAAGTGTGACAGGCTGGAGGTGTGGGTGTCCCAGAGAAGTTTCTTTAGGTGAATGTTGGGCTGGTAACCCAAAGTTCCAACATCAGGGAGAACAGATGTGGGGGAAAATAGGGGCTCTGGGGAGAAATTCAGGGTGGTACAGGGTGACCAGGGGGGAAGCATGGAGGTGCTAGGGTTACCAGGCAGGACAGTCCTGTCCTCAGCTCCTGGGATTTGGATGGCAAATTCTCATAATTGTAAGCCATTACTGGAAAATTTCAAAGCCAGCATCTAAAAAATTAATTTCCTGGTTGCATTAAACTATGATCAGTATAATCCACATGTTTTTCAGCAGCTTCTGAAGTGGCTGAGCCCGGAAAGAAGTGCTGAGTTTTCAAAAGATCAGTAATCTATGAGTTCTGTATCATTAAATGACTTCTGAGGAATAATGTATATTTATGCATGTATTTGTGAATATTTTTATGCAGAATATATGTGCAGTAATAGAAAAGTGGGTTTTTGCATTTCTCAAATAGAAACAGCAGTGTTGGGAAATGAAGCAAATTTTACTTGAGGATATTTGAAGATATTAAGAGAAATTGGTAAATGTAATATATACAGTATGTTTGTACACACAGACATTCTGTGTACTGTATACAGTGCATACACAGAGGACAAGAAGTACTGGAAATATGCCTAGAAAAAGTCATGGTAACTAGGAATGCTCCCTGAGAAGAGAGTTTGGAATCAGGTTTCTTTTTTTTTTTTTTTTTTTTTTTTTTGGTTTTACCAGACAGGGTTTCTCTGTATTGTTTTGGAGGCTGTCGGTCCAGCCCGGCCTCAAACTCACAGAGATCCGCCTGCCTCTGCCTCCCAAGTGCTGGGATTAAAGGCGTGCGCCACCACCGCCCGGCGAATCAGGTTTCTTAAAAGGCCAAGTGCATCCTGGAAGACTACAGGGCCCTGAGGCTTGAAGGAATCAGCTCATCTGTACTTGCTGTAACAGTGCTTACTGAGGACAAGTGAGTGGCAGGTGCCAGAATTATCCTGATTTCACGTGCCCATGCTGGGTTCCTCCCACAAGGAAACTGATGCCCCATCCATCCACACCACTAAGGTAGGGGTAGACATGAAGTCACACTTTGACCAGAGTGTTGTCCTAGAGCAGGATGCCCATTGTAGCAGGTGACCGTTGAAGGTTGACAAGGGCCAGGGCTGCTCAGGCCCTATCCAGCATCCAGAAGGACTGAACTTAACCCACCAGGCAAGAGGCCAGTGATGGGTTCTAATGACAGGGGCTTGATGGCCCATGGGGAGGTGTCAAATTGGATTAAGCTACACTGGCAAAACCGCAGTTTGGTTCATGGCAGTGGACCTGGAAGGAGTTTGTGATTTTCTGTCTGTTGTATTAAACTGAAGAAAGTAGATAGCATGCTAGACACCGGAAGTACACAAGAGAAGGAATATAGGGTAGATAACGGTGCTGTGGGTGTAGGCTCTGGTGGAGGAGGATGAAGAACTCCCAAGTCAGCAACCTCTTCAACCTCTGTCTCTCCCTCCTCCCCCTCACATTTCTCTCAACTAGCTTTGGATCTTTTAGGAATACTGAAAATGCAAGTCTCTTTTACTCCTTTTTCTGACACCTATTGCCTTTGATGATACCCTACGCAAGAAAGCAAGCACATGGAACAATGTGTGGGCACATACAGAAATGTAGTACCCTTTGAATAACAAGTCATACAACTTCCAATGCAAGAAAACTTGTACCCATGTAACCATGGGTCCATCCTGACATGGTTTTTAAGCTATCGATTATTCTCTAAGTATGCGCTTACATTAATGTCTCTCTGTGTATGTGTGTGTGTGGAGAGCGTATGCACGTGTAGGTACAATATTAGGTGTTCTTTTTTTTTTTTTTGAGACAAGATCTTTCTCCCACTAGCTCATTGAGTAGGCTAGGAAAGCTGGATAACACATCTCAGGAAACTACTTCTCCAGCTCCCCGTCCTGGGATTACAGGAATGAATTAATACACCTAGCTTTTTGCATACCTGCTAGGGGTTCAACTCAGGCCTTCATGCCTACAAGCTAAGCACTTCCCTGTTTGCCCAGCCCTCTGCTCACATAAAATTATGCAGAAAGTTCTTTCTACAGGAGTCAGGGCCAGACATCTTTGAAACGCAAAGAAGTCACACTGATGGTTTTCAAAATCCCAGTGGCCTTCTTCCCCTGCCTCAGCCACCGCTGACTTGGAATGTCTCAGGTTTTTAATACTGTTATGGCTAGATTTCTTTTTTTTTCTATTTAAATGAGCACTTTCTCCTGTATTTCAGAAAAACGTGTTTCAAACTTAAGCCACTGTTTGTGGATTGTCAAGAAATTGCAGCTGACTTAAAAATGTAAATAACAGAAACAAAATTTAATGCAAGAGGAATCTACAGTGTTCTCCAGATACCTCACAGTGTTTATGGGCTAACTTGTTCCAGACTGGATCTGGAATGTTCCCAGCTTAGTCTTATGGGAAGGTGGGGAAGCCTTTAGGCAAGTGGTTCTCAACCTGTGAGTCTTGACCCCTTTGGGGGTCAAATAGGGTGGCCTAAGATCATCAGAAAACACAGATATTTACATAATGATTCATAACAGTAGCAAAATTACAGTTATGAAGTAGCAATGAAAATAATTTTACGGTTGAGGTCACTACACCATTAGAGGGTGGCAGCATTAGGGAGGTTGAAAACCACTGCTCTAGGTGGTACTGCATATTGAGAAGTCATCCAGTTATTTTTTGGGGAGTATCTTTGAAAGTGGCTGTAAGATGGGCATATTTTCTTTACTGAAAATATTTCCCAACATTTCTGTAAGGGAAAACTTAAGTTCATTATGAAGGGAAAAGTCATGACCTCCATCTTTCTTTTCACGTGACCCAAACAGCGCTAAAGACTCATTTAGTCATTCTTGCTCTTCTGTATGTTGCTTACCTCGCTTGAAGATTTCATAACGGATAGAAAACCCGGCCCCATGTGTCTCATAGTCAGAGACAAATTTGATGAGGAGGAAGGGCCCTGAAGACACCACAGGAGACGGTGCGATCTTCCCACAGAACTTGCCCCACAGACGGCCATTTTCATTATCCCCATCGATCACCTCCACATAGTCGTACCTTGCAAACAAGAAAAGGAGGCATTGTGAGGTGGGGAGAGAGGTCCTTTCAACTTCAAAATTTGGCCAGCTTAACATCTGGTACAGTCCGTCACGGGGGAAAAATGCACCATCTGCATTTACCGCTGCTTAGCACAGAGGAAGAAACAGAAAGAAATGCAATAATTAAAATGGACTGCATTGCCTGAGCGCATTATCAACAGCACAGAACCATTAAGAATAATGGTGTCCATTATACTTGCAGACAATGTCAGTTAAAGTAACCAATTAACAAGGAAAAGCAAACTCTCTGAAGCACAATTGTCTATTATTAAGTAGTGTTGCTTTGTCTGTGGCAGGGGTGTCCTGTGCATAATGCAGGGCATTCTTTTCAAACTGCGAGGTTCCCTTATGAATTCAGAACGTCTCCTTGGCTAGAGTGCCCCACGAACAATACTTTGATTTCTGTGAGCGACCTTCTAAACATATGGCCTCGGAATAATAAACAGATTCTTCACTATTTAACGCCAGCCTGCCCAACTCCAGTCTTCTGAGAAAGGACTCTCTCTTTAGCCACATTCAGTGGCTGAGACGGAATACCTCCCCAGCCTACACTTTGTGTCACAAGGCACCATTTAAAGTCTGGAAGAAAGGGGGAGGTATGTAAAATTGGAAAGTAACTTTGTTTATACTCGCCCATCAGAATCTTTAAAGGGATATTGTTGGGAAAAGAAACAACACAACTGTGCAATCACCAAGGAAAACCCAGGCTTGGTAATCATACTGACGGGACCAATGATGGAGGATCACACTGGGCTAATGTGAGCCTAGAGTACAAGGCTCTTTAAAAGGCAGAACACCATCAGCAGGAAAGACAAGGTATCCTGGAGCAGAACGAGGAGGTCTCCATTTGTCTGGTGTTATGTTTCTTAGTGCTTTGCTTTTGTCTTCCTTCCTTCCTTTTTAAAAACGTGTGTGTGTGTGTGTGTGTGTGTGTGTGTGTGTGTGTGTGTTCCCATAGGGCAGTAAGTATGTGTGTGTGTGTGTAGGTCAGAGGTCAACATTGGATAGCTTTCTCAAGAGCTCTCCACCTTATTTATTTTTTGAAAAGGGTTTGCTAATTAGACTAGACTGGCTGGGCAATGATGAGCTCCAGGACCCTCCTCTTCACCTCCCAGTGCAGATGGTTACAGATGCATACTGCCTCGCCTGGCTTTGTATGTGGTTGTGGGGGACTGGAACTCAGGACTTCATGCTTGTGCAGCCAGCGCTGTACCTAACAAGCCACCTCCCCACCCTTCCACTCCGTATTTACTAAGCCATCTGGGAGACTGACACATCTGATTTATCTTCACTTTCTCCTAGAATGCACACGAAACCATTGCAGCCCATTTATTTCAAACCTTAACTTGCTTTAAAAACCCTGGGATATATTCATTTCAGGCCTGGCTAAAATATGGCAGTCACATGAACTGTATTTGGCAATTTAAAAGAAATCAAGTGGGGGAAATCTTCATGATGACCATGCAGTCGCTAACAGAACTGCCAGGACCCATGACTTATGTCTGCAGAAAACCCCAGGAGACAATCACCAGGATGATATCACTGCTTAGAGTGGACAGCTCAAGGCTCTTTATATTAAGGATGACATTACCTCATCAGTTAAAATTGTCTGCCAGCTTTGTGTATATCAAGAAAATAAAGCTGGTGTTGATGGAGCTCAGCATTAACATATGTGAATTATTGTCCAAACACCATTTCCCTTGTTGGGTATGTTATTTCCAGTAGTAATCACGGGGCCAGCTAACACCTCCAATATCACTGACCCTTCATGAAATGTGGACATACACTGAGGAATTGTCCCTTTTTCCACCCTGGCAGAGATGCTTTACATGTGGAAGACAAAGGCGGCTGGTGGGCAAGGAACTGGGGAGGAGGAGGAAAATACATTTAAAACCCTAACCAACTTTCTGAGGCACCAGCGGCCATGGAGAAACAAGCCTGGACCCACCGCAGCCTCCCCAGCCCGCCTTCATGGAGAGATTCTTTTCATGTACAGCTCCACTGACAAGAAAGGCCCGCCGGCCCTGCCCTGCGCTTTCTTATAATCTAACTGTGATTTTGAACTGCTTGCTGTGTTTGGTCTGGCCACAGCTCACTCAGCTTTGCAATATAAGCTTTCACTCCCATCTTGACACGGTATGAATACTAAGCGACTAAATCCTGGTGCGCCCTGCCTTTCAGGCACAAATGAGCGAGGTGGGTCAGGCTCTGTGAAGAAGGCTTCTGTGGGAAGGGCTTTCTCCCAGGTATCAGAGTGCTGAGCTATTGCCAGGGAACCTCAAGAGGGGGGAAAGCTAGTCTTTTAATTCATATATTCTCTGATAGTAAATACCAGGCCCTCCCCTTGGCAACCGTGAGAGCTATTTTTAAAAGTGCGAGGGGTGTGAATTAGAATCCCTTCCCACCAAGAGATAAGCCATAGCCAGTGCCAATTTGAGGAAGTTGAGTTATTCAGGGATACTATAGTCACATTTGGGTGCTGGAAGGCTGCTAGCATTTTAGCACTCCCTTCAAAGCCCTATCCAATCAGGTCCCTAGGAATATAGGCAATAGACTTTCTTGCACACATTCAGGAGAGTGGATCCTGCCCAAGCTGTGAGCAAGTATCACTAGAGGAGTAAAGAGGAAGCAGCTGGCATCTGTCTCTGAGTTGACACCAGCCCCACTCCCCACCATTCTCTGGCAGACACCATGCCCAGAATGCAGCTGGTGGGCCAGCTTCCTTCCCTGGAATACCAAGGCAGCTCACTCAGCCCTCAATGGCCCTGAGCCAGGATCCCAAGTTTGCAAATTTCGACACTCCCACCCACCACCACCCCTCCCTGCCCCCACCCCAAAAGACTGTGCATTGCTCTGCTGCGGCTGCCAGGGAGGCAAACGCCCCCTGCTTAGAATGTCAAGATCCTCAGTTGAGACCCAGGGCCCTGCAGAGCGAGAGGGCAGGCACCTGCTTGGCTCCAGCAGCCAGGGGGAGACCTGAATTCACAAAGCCACAGGGGAAGCTCTGAAAGTGCACTCATCCTGCTCAGGGGACATGGATGCTTCAGGTAACTAGGGAAGGGGGGTCGCCCTTCCATGTGGGGATTCAGGAAGTGGACCCCTCTGCTCCCCACTCCTTGATCGTTGCAAAGAAAATGGAAACTTCCTAGGGAATGCAAACTTAGTGTGGATTTTTTAATTATTCAGAAGGCAATCGACCTGTTCGGGTGGCGTTCTCCCTCTGCTAGAGTCCTCTATCCTCAGACTCCTCCCTGTGTGGTGAAGGTGGCTGAGCGGATGCCTACTCCCTGGAAGACAGCATGAATACCCATGGAGCCTTCTGCCATTAAAAGGGATTGCCCCCCAGGTGCTGAGTTCAGTGGTTCCATAGCTCTTTCCTTGGCTGTTCCTGGACTTAGAATCTAAGCCCTTCAGAAGCCACAGGCTTTGTCTGTGCTAATCCCCAACCTTACCCTACCTGATGAAATGGCTCTAACCATATAGGCATGCAGGAGAGTGATAAAAGAATAAAGGTTTCCTTCTAAGAACTCCTGTGGCTCTCAGGAGCAGAGGATGGCCCATCTCTGAGGCCAGCCTGGTCTACAGAGTCAGTTCCAGGACAGCCAGGACTGTACAGAGAAACCCTGTCTCTAAATAAACAATAAAATTGCCAAGCTGTTATTTTCCTTTCCTTTAGGAAGGCCTGGATTATGGTTTGAGGAAGATGGTCGAGGAGGACAAAAAGTGTGCCCAGGGAATGAGAAACGCACTGGATCGCTGCAGAGTGGTTCCAGACTGTCCAGAGGTGTATGGTGGTGAACAGATAAGGACCAAGTGCAGATGACCCATGATGCTGTGACGGAGTGACTAATGGAAGGAAAGCCAATCCTCTGTGGATGTCTTCTGATGCACAGACCTACTGTGCTCAGACTCAATCTGCCTCCGCCTGGCTTCCACACACCCTGGAGTCGGTAGGAAGGGGGAATCTCAGAGTGGGTGTCTTTCTGATCCTCCAATAGGATCATCCCCTCATCCCCAACATGGCACAAGTACAATCACAATGGAGAGATATGCTTCCCCCAATTGTGAATGAATCATGTCTACTCTGGGTATATATTGATCTGTGGGCTCATGGCAAAGCTTGCAGAAGACATGGGTTCAATTCTTTGCACCCATATGGTGCTCACAAACATCTGTAACACCAGTTCTAGGAAATCCAACAGGCATGCATGCGGTACACGTACATGCATACAGGCAAAACATTCACACATATAGAAAGATTATGTTCCTTACCCATTTCATCATCTTTAAATTTTTTATCTTGAGTTTTGTTTTATTATGGACAGGTGCTTATAATCAGATAAAGTTGCTGTACAAAGCACTAACTACCTGTGCAGAAAGCAGCAAATCAATGTGTTTGCCTTCCCAGCAACTTTATATTCTTGGTTAGCAAACATTATCATTAAGATGTTTTATTTGGAAGTAGATCAAGGACTGTTTTTTTTTAATACATCACGGAATCAATGAGACTCTCTGTGTGCTTGTTTTTAATAAAAGAAGTTAAAGGAAATTGAATTTGATTTCTTACTTTCTGAAATGCTGGCCGCACTTCATGGCACTGTCCAATAAATTCCACATTGCACTCGCTTCATTGAAGTTGGTCTTTGTGGGGGACCCGTTAGCCGCAGAGCAATCCCAGAAGAACCCAGGGGTTGGGGAGGGCCATGTGACATGGAGGCCATGTCCACACAATGCTGCCTGCTGTTACCTGGTCCCCATAGCTTCTGTTTCTCGGGGTGAGCACGACAGCTGTTCAGGTGCGTAAAATGCACACGGAGGAAACACATCAGCCTCAGCTGTTGTTCCTTAGGAGTAATCCGCTTTATTTCTATTTCGTTTGTTTGCTTGTTGTTGCTTTGAGACACTATCCCTCACAGGTCTGGAGCTCTCCACATAGGCTAGACTGGCTGGCCGGTGAAC